GGGACATAACCACAGACACAGAGGAAATTCAGAGAATCATTAGATCTTACTACAAAAGTCTGTATGCCACAAAACTGGAAAATGCAAAAGAAATGGACATTTTTTTAGATAAGTACCATATACCAAAGCTAAACCAAGACCAGGTGAACGATCTAAATAGACCTGTTAGTCACGAAGAACTAGAAACTGTTATCAAAAATCTTCCTTCCAAAAAAAAGCCCAGGACCAGATGGTTTCAATGCAGAATTCTATCAGAACTTCCAAGAAGAGCTAATACCTATACTCCTTAATGTATTTCACAATATAGAGAATACAACATTTAAGGGCTCCTTGTGATAACTTCCCCACCCCCACAGCCAGGGCCCACCACCACGGCCAGGGCACACCCCCACAGCCAGGGCTCAGCCCCACTGCCAGAACCTACCTCCACAACCAGTTAGGACCTACCTCCATAGTACAAAAATTAGTGCCACAAACCCTGGAAACAAGTCTTGAAAACACAAGACTGGGGGGAGAATCTAGCTTTGACTAATAACAATCAGACTGAAGGTAGAGGAAATAGGTAGATGTCCATGGATGAGCTCTTTGGAAAGTGACCCATGATCCTCTCCTCTGTACTTACCGCCCTCCCATATCTTACCTCAATTCAGAGAGAAAGGGAAAAGAGAGGCTTAAAGAGACCACTCAAGGCAAAACTGTGTCCTTTGCCCTGTGTAGTAGGAGCAGGCAGGGAGATAGAGAGATCCTCATGCCTGAGGAGTCTTGGGAATGAGAAACAGATTGAGTGGAGGAACTCCAGGAATAAACAATGGAGAAAAATCTGTAGTGCTAGGCTAGACCTGGGGAAGTTTTACAGGGGAAGTTTGCCAAAAACATCATGTAAGCATTCTTGAAGGTCATATTTAGGTGTAGTCAGTGGTAGCCCAGTAGTGGATAGAGGTCCTGGATGATGGTAGCCTGTAGTAGGACCCCAACTGACAGCAGACATAGTGATCTGCCAGATTCCTGAGACTAGGTTCAGAATGGAGAAACTTGTTTTGGTAATAGAATAAGACATAGTAGTGGAAGGGAACCAAGGAGAGGCCAAGAAAGAAGTCCACAAGAGACTGGAGCAATGGGACGATAGTCTTATACCATAATGCTGGTTTTAGAGGATGCTGGGATTTGAACTTAGGGCTTATTGCATGCTCAGAGAAAGCTCCACCAACTGAGATACACCTCCAGGCCCTCCTCCCCCAACAAAATGGTTTCTAATACCACAAATCATATCATGCATGCCATTCATTGCTTAAAATCTTCCTGTAGAGACATCTGTGATAGCACACACCTGCAATTCTTGTACTGGGGAGACAGAGGCAAAAGATTTATGAGTTTTAGGACACACTGGGAAATCCTATCTTAAAACCAAAAATACAGGCAAACAACAACAACAACAACAAAAAGACCTTTCCATAAACTGCAACCACCTCCTCTTCCTTTCTCTTTCTCCTCCTTTGGCCTTATTATGATTTAAAGGGTTTACCTAATACATCCTGTACTTCTCCTGGACTTATACTGAATGATTAACCCATACCAACCCATTCACCTTTTGTCTTCATTCATCTTTGTATGCTATGTCTCATGACACTAGCCTTTCTCTGTTTTGGAATCCTGCACAGAGACCACTGTGTTCATGTTTTGGCCAGACTAATTTCCGAGCTTTTGCTAATCAGCATCAATTGCACTGGTGTAACAAAGGTTTTGCTTTAGTGGCTGACTAGACACCACATGTTCTCACACAATGGTGTATATGAGGTTCCCAATGAAGTGGTGCCAGCACAGATTAGTATTAACAACATTTGAGTGTCCAGAACACTTGACTGTGAGGAGAAGGAGCAACTTGACTTCTCAACCATGGGGTTAGGTGTTCAGTGTATACCGACATGGAATAGCAGGGTTCACATGGAGGCAGACGAGGCTGGACTCCTTTGATTCTTCATGTGCTACATAATTTTGTGTCAACTTGACACAAGTTAACTTCATCTGAGAGGAGGGAACCTCAATTGAGAAAATGCCTCCATAAGATCAGGACATAGGTAAGTAAGCCTATAGGGCATTTTCTTAATTAGTGATTGATAGAAGAGGGTCCAGCCCATTGTGTATGATACCACCCCTGGGCTGGTAGTCCTGGGTTCTACACGAAAGCAGGCTGAGCAAGCCAAGGGGAGCAAGTCAGTAAGCAGCACTCCTTCATTTTGATGATGAACGGTGAAGCAGAAGCAAAAGTCGAATAAACCTTTTCCTCCCCAAATTGCTTTGGTCATCATGTTTCCTCATAGCAAGAGTAACCCTAACTAATATATTCTATGAGGCAACACAGGACCTGAGGATTTGATCTTTGTCATTAAGACTTCATACAATTTTCTCTCATCACCCCTGAAGACTTCTTTGAAATGATCCTGCCCCACAAGACCTAACCACCGTCTACGTGACTGTACTTTCCTTCAGCCACCTCCATGGCAGTCCTTGTCTGGTTAAGATACTGAACAAAAACCAGTTCTACTTGAGGCCTGGTGTGGTCTGGAAATGGTCACATTACCAGCCATTCCCACACAAATGAATCCTTGCAATCTGACAAGCTATGAATTTGCACTGAATTAAACTCATTCAGGACTAGCTAGCCCTTGGACTTCTAGCTATAATTATAGCGTTCATAAGGTTTTTGTAGAAGCAATCAAATTAAAATGAATGCAGTGGAGAAAGTTCTAGTCCAATAGGACCAATGTCCTTTAGAAGTGGGAACACTTACATGAAGGTAGGCACACAAAGAGAGTGCCATATGAATGTGAAGATGACCCTCCATCTGTCAGCCAAGAAGAAGGCCATGGCATGAACATTTCAGCCCCAGGGCAGCTACCGTGCCTTGATTGAAACCTCCAGGTTCCAGAACGGCAATAAAATATATCTAAGTTATTTATAATACCAGGAGATCCCTGTTCTGACAGCCCTATAGATGCTATCAAAGGATCCAGTATCTATCTACTACGTGCCAGGCAGGCGGTGGCACACCCTAGCCAGGGTAGGTGGTATCAAGGAAACATGGCTGGCAGATCAAGTCTTTTCCTGAGAACTCCAGTAGATTTTTATATCACATGTTATGGAGCAGAACTGAGTTGTGGGCCCACATCCTACATGAAAGCAGTGCAGGAAGGCCTTTGTATGGCACGCTTCTGAGTGGGTTCTTGAAGTTGAAGGCTCTTTTCTAGGAATACAGCTACTTGTAATCCTCAGACAGGTGCTACCACCTTTCTCCAAGAAAACGAACTCTCTTTCCATTGACTTGTGCAACAGAGACAGGAAACAGGCTAACATTCATTATATGATTTGACAATTTTGTTCTTTCTGTGTGTTTGTCACCTGCTTAGATCTTAGGGACACACACTGAAGGAAACAGCACTTCTTGTGGTTTTCTTGCAGTGCTAGGAGACAGGTGACAAGCCACAGAGAAGTTCTGGGAAGTCTTTCTTGGAATGAAGGATGTAGAGGAGTCTAGATTTTTCTGCAGGAGAAGGTTCCACTGAATAAAATATTCCATCCTCAACGACACTGATGCTTTCAAAATGGAAATAAAAGAGCTCAAAAATTCTGAGAGGCTAAATTTTTCTTACTCCTGTCTCCAGAGGTCTGTAATTGAACTTGGACATTGTAGCCCTGGCATGCAATTCCTTATTATCACTTCCCATTTTCCCCTTTGATGTTTGGGGACTGTCCAACTGTCTTGTACCTTAATTCATCTATTGCACCTACATACCTGGTACCCTAAGAGAGTATACTGTTCATTCTCGGTCCACTACCAGTATGGTCTTTTTTTTTTTTTTTTCATTCTCTAAGCCCCCTGGGTTACCTTGCTGGTAGAGGGATTACAAATGGGGTCAAGGACATCTTAATGAGGTAAAGCTCTTGCAGAGGGCCAGAGTCTAGTTCCCGGCCCTCAGAACTGCCTGTAACTCCAGCTCTGGAAGATACTCTCTCTTCTTTTGGCACATAAACATACGTTCTCACCACCACTGTACATAATTAAAAATACAATAAATCTCAGAAAATGTATGTTAGTGAACAAAGATAATGCTTTCTTTTCTTTTGCCGATTGAAGAGAGGTTTTCATTTCTCTTCAGTCTTCTGCAGAAGGCTAATTGTTGAGTATGTTCAGCCCTGTGTGTCTGAGTTTTATCATAGTTACTTTAATAATAAAGGAACTACACGCCTCCGATACCCTAAGAGAGTCCCAGTGCTATTTTTGAGGGTTTTAATGGATTCAATACTTAGAATACCCTTGTCTGGAAGCCTGTAAAACATCACAGAATATTCTAACGCCTCTTTTCTGAGGGCTTTCTGTTCCATTTTTTTTTTTTTTGTAGTCTTTCAGAGATGGTGGAGTGGGCTGGAATGAGTCTTGGGGTTCTGCAGGCAGCAGGAGAAATCCCAGTCTTTTCAGGGTGCAGGGCTGGGGAGCTTCAGGATTTAGGGGCAGCGGTGCAGCGGGAGCCTGAGGCAGGGCTTGTGGGTTTCCCCCAGGGCTGCGGCGCAGAGCACTGCAGGGCAGTGTTTACGTGCATCCTAGCAACGGCTCACGCGGGTGCCTGGGTGCCGGGCAACACTGCAGGTGAGTGGCCGTGGTGGCATGCACCGTGTTGGAAATTTCCTTCGGACCTCTCTGTCCTTGGTTGTCCTTTCGTCTCTGCCCCATCCTACTGTGTCCCTCTTGGTCCTTGTGCCTCTTCAACCGTCTCACCCTCTACCCAGCCTCTCCAGTCTCTCGGCGGTCTTCTTTCTCTCTACCTCTCTTCCACCCTCTCGGTTCCTCTTCCTTCATTCACTTTCCTCCTGTCCCTGAGCTGGCCTTCCACTCCTCCTTTCCCGCCTCTTCCCAGTCTCCCCTCTGCCTTCTGCTTGGCTTCCTGCTCTCACCTTGACCTTCACCGCCCACCGTTCCCCCATATCTTCACCATATTAGTACCCTCAGCACTTCAGCCTCAGGTTTGAAATGCGCCTGCTCAGTGCCTGGGTCCTGTATCTTCACATCTACAGGGTCGAGTTAAATCGCACCTTGTTTATGTCAGTTCTGAAACTTCATTTCCTAGGGGATGCTGAATAGTTTCTTCATGCATAGTATGGCCAGGCATGTCCTGGCTCTCCATCGATAATAATACACTTGGAGATTTACATAGTCTCCGAAGAACTGGATTTGTTACAGAGATTACTTTCAAAATTGTTGTGTTTTGTTAATGATAGAGAGAGCTTGGAGGGTGGCATAAAAGAAAAATTCTATTAGAGTTGAGAAAACTAGTAATTAGTCGTTATAATTTTACAAACACACACACGTATACTTTGTTCTTTTCTAACTCTGAACTTGGAAACATTAATTCAGAGATACCTGTTATATATTTGCTGTAGTCATTAAGGTTAAAAGAACTAATGGATTGTTGACAATGGGGCTGGGAGACACTGTCTTGATAAACTGTAAGAGTTGGTTTGAACACGTCTGTTTTCCTTTTCTTTCCTAAGAGTATTGCTCTTGCTTTCTGGATTGTCCCAGAGTCTAAGGCACTCTTAGGGCTCCAGTTAACGTGCTAAAGAGGCTGTCCATCGGAGGGCTCCTCGTCGTTGATTGGGAAAAAGAATCTGCATAGATTTAAATGTAAGTTAAATTTACATTTCTATAAAAGTTTATTGTAAGTGAAAGAACTTTTTGCATGTCTCAGCTTCTTTTAAAGTGTCTTCTAAGAAATCGCCACAGTGTTGCCTGACTGCCATAGTAACATATCATCTATAACACTCAGTTCTTTAGAAAGAGTGAAGGAAAGAGATGGTTCACACCCTGCAGGTACGATTTTGGAAGCAAAGTTCACACTTATAATTAAATAGAGGCAGACCATCCTCTGAAGCTTTTCTGGATTAGATAAAGCATTTGCACATTTCCATTGTTTATACTTATTCTCAGAACACTAGGAAACTAAAGTGCCAGGCACACATGCTTATGCATTTGACACCAAAGCACTTTCCATCAATTAGGAATAGAAAAAAGAAATCACAGAAAAATCTTTACATCATATTTTGTTTTACCAACACCTAACTCTCTCTCTCTCTCTCTCTCTCTCTCTCTCTCTCTCTCTCTCTCTCTGTGTGTGTGTGTGTGTGTGTGTGTGTGTGTGTGNCTCTCTCTCTCTCTCTCTCTCTCTCTCTCTCTCTCTCTCTCTCTCTCTGTGTGTGTGTGTGTGTGTGTGTGTGTGTGTGTGTAGACAGACAGGGGGAGAGAGGGGGAAAAAGAGAGAGGGGAGGGGAGGACAGGAGAGGAGAGAAGACAGAAAGTTAGAAGAGACAGAGACTCACAGGAAAGTGGTTTTCTACAACACCTGGATATTATAACAAATACCTTGTAATGACACCTTAGTATTTTGAAACCAAGAGTACAGATAATAGTATTATATAGGTAATATAATTTTAAACACTGATAATGCTCTGTGAAAGAAAAGAAATGCAAATGTTTAGGCATCACTATATTAGAATATCTTAGGGAGTCATCCACTCTGAAATAGAATTACCTGAATGTGGTATTCTGTCTCCAAACTCAGGCTGATACCAGTGGTCAGAATGTAACTTAAATTTTCCTGCTGACATTATCATGACAGTGTGATTTTCCAAGGTGCTGAGCTCTTGACTAAAGCTCCACATGGAGCAAAGTATGCAAACTTTTGTTTAATTTATATGGTATTTCCAAGCCTGAGTATCCAGTCCACACTAAAACTGTGAAAACTGGTTTGTTACTTTCATAAAGTGGAGGGAAATTCTAGACTGCCGTATTGCTTATCTGAAGTTTTCCAAATACCAAAGTTTTTCAGCAGAGTTCTTCCTACTGGGCATAAGAAGAAGATTTGTATCCTTGGCACTAACCACTAAATGCCAATAATGTCTCTCTTGGTCATTTTGTAGCAACAAATAGGCATGTTAACAATGTTGCTGTCCTGCCCCCCAGCAGGAAATGGTCCTCTGGAGAGAGCTGCTGAACTCCTACTATTGGATTTCAAATTTTAATATGGTACAGAAAGTAAAATATCCACTATTGTGTCAAACCTTGTGTTTCAAAGCCTTTTTAGGACAATCTAATATTCTGGAGGGAAGGTTTTTAACAGCCAATGGCTTTACAAAATATAGATGATCTATAAATAATATTATTTTTAAAATAAGTTGTGACTTTGTTCTTATTGAATGTTTCAGATAAAGTCATATTTTTACATACTAATTTCTGTTTAGCCAAAGTAAAATATATTTTATTTGGATTTGTTTTAAGTTTCTTGCTATACTGTTTTGATAACCTGTTTAAAAAAAAAAAAACTAAAAAGTCTCTGCCCTGACCCCATATCTACCACATTTACTCATAAGAAAACAATGTTTCTGTTTTGCACACGATCTACAAACAGGATATATGGGACTCTCTCAGATACACTGAATAAGCACAATATATTGTATTAACTCTCATCAAAAATTAAAATATTTAATTTTCAACAATTCACAGTCACAGTTTGATCCTATTTTTTATTAACCCCAGAGGCATGTGAGGGACTTAAGGCGCTTGGAAGAGGGCTTTTCCTCCATCACTGTACCCGTTCAGAAACTATGACTTTGAGAAAGCCAAAACAAAAAAATTAGTTTAATTGCCTAATTCTAAATGATGTGTAGCTCAGATCAAATGTGCACTTCTCACTAAACCCCCAACCTCTTTTAGGGCTGGGAAGCAACACTCTTACTGTCAATCTCTGATTCTGTTTTTCCATTCTTGAAGTTCTCTTTTTGAGCTTTCTGTCCAGCTGTTCTTTTTCTTAGACCCTTGGAAATTAAAAAGGCATTACTAACTTTAGGGCAGGCTGATATTGGAAACTCCTTCAATACAAGTTAGTTTTATGTAGTTATGCTTAGCTGTTTCATTGCATTGAAGAAAGGTTAGATTGTTAAAAATGTAGACTGTAGGTTGGATAGTACTAGTATAAAATCTTGAAGACAAAGAATGTTTGTATGAGAATGTGGAAGCCTCTAACTCCTTCTGTTTTGCTGTAGTTTTTGTTCTGTGGTTGGCTTGGAGTATTAACAGACCCATGGGTGTGGCGTTGACCAGATCGGCACAGTGGACAGCTGCAGGGTATGGGACTGGAACCCTGGAGATCACCCCACTGAACGAGTCAATATTGAATGAAATTAATAAATTTGTGGAGTCTTTCATTTATAAATATCCCCAAGAGGCAAAATTCATTTTTGTAGAACCACTTGAGTGGAAAACAAATTTGGAGCCCTCAACATTTGAATCAGGTTATATTATCAGGTAAGTTACTTAGTTGCTTCTAGAATTTAATGACAACTTTGTATAGAGTTTCACTGACTGTTAGAGGAGTCAGGCCTAATAATAATTCCCTAAACTGGATATTGCAGAGTGGAGATACAAAGGAGCCTTAAGAGTATTTCAGGTGGCAAACATGGGATTTGTCTACTTTTTACTATAAATGTCATTCCTTTTGATAGAGGATGCATTTTCCAGATCTCAGCTTCCAATGTCCACTCCCTTTTCCTGCTTGCCTTTCCACTCATCTATATGACCTTCTAGATATTAATAGTTCCTAGTTTGTGATATAGCTAAATTATTATAGTATTAACCATAGCATTCCCTAGAAAGACAAGAGGAGGGTGGAGGATTTTGCTAAGTGGAAGAGAAACTAGAACCCGGGGCTGGAGCCATGTCAGAGCTGCACCTACTGCTCCCCACCCATGGTCCTTAAGGGAGGAAATTCTTAGCAACCTGCTCAAAAATGCGATTTACAAAGATTCGACCACTAGCTTAAAGGGTGGGGTTACAGTTCATCTCTTTTGAATATGTGTGTGAACATGTGTGTGTGCACATGCATACTTGTGTGTGTGGACTTATAATAGCCATGGTTAGAAATACACATATGTTTCACTGTGTGCTGTATTTGAGTCAGAAGCAAGCACATGTGTGCATTTACTTGAGCGTGCACCCTCACTTAATTATGTAGCTTGGTCACTCTCTTTCTTGTTACTTGTCCTTTTTTTTTATTCTATGTTTTTTTTAAACATTTATTTATTTAGTATACAGTATTCTGTCTGCTTGTATGCCTGCAGGCCAGAAGAGGACAACAGACCTCATTACAGATGGTTGTGAGCCACCATGTGGTTGCTGGGAATTGAACTCAGGACCTTTGGAAGAGCAGGCAATGCTCTTAACCACTGAGCCATCTCTCCAGCCCTACTTGTCCCTTTTTAAGATTTCCTTTTCTCCTTTAAAAACTGATCTCATAAAAAGCAATTTCCCAGTTCTCTGAAGCTTCCTGCAGATAGCTTTCTTCTTTCCCTTGGGATTGTTTGGACAATAAAGTCAATATTTCATTTTCACAATTGCAAACCCATTCCTAAACTGCACTGAAGAACTGTTTAGTGTCTTGTCTCCCTTTTCTTAATTTTTTAATTTTTAATGGTGTGGTGCATATTCCAAGGCTCACTATCTGCCCTACTGTTGCTCATTTATATATGCCCAATTTTTGGTTGCTTCCACTTAAGTTCAATTTTTTTTTAAGTTTGAAAGATGGACTCAGCTGCAAAATCTATTAGAAACACATTAACTACTTTGTACAGAGATGGTTTTAGAGCAGATGACAGAAAAGTTGTCATCATACCTGGCCTCTGCACTACTTCTGTGTGCCAAGTCCAAACATGACCACATCTGTCTTCTTAGTGTTGGGATGCAATATACTCCTCAAATGTGTCACTGTTTTTCTTTCTTCTGAACAAATTCTTTTGACTTAGTTCCCATATGTAGACTTTGCCTGCGGTCTTCCTGCATGTTGCCCCCTCCTAAGTGGGAGGCTTGGACATTTTGATACCATGTGTATCTTGAAAACAGTGGCCCCTTGACTACTTTACTTCTGTAAAATTTGTTACGAAACTTTTGCTGTCCATTCTTTTTGTTTCTGACCTTTACTGAAGAAACCTTTGATGTTGGATGAGAGAGGTTCAGTAGTATCACTTACTAAGAATTAAACCATGCTTGTGTGGCTCTGATGAAAACCAGATGGGTACTGATTGCCTATAAAAAAGCAAAATTTACAGATAAGATTCTGTTCATAGCAGAAAATACTAAAATGCTTTGTGTTTAACTCTAACTCTTGCTTCACACGACAAATTAAGGAATGGTCAATAACCCAGAGTCACTTTCCTGTGACTGTAAGAAAATACCTGAGACAATCAACTGAAAGGAGGAAAAACTTTGTTTTGGCTCATGATCTTGATACTTCTTTCTGCCTCACCCCCTTTTTGGGAACCATGATGAGGTAAAAGAAGTATGTGGTGGAAGAGTGCCTCATGGTATCTGGAAAAAGATGAAAGAGTTGGAAGTCCCAATGTCTTCCTCAAGGTCACACCTCTGGCATCTTAGTTTTCTTTCTTGTTGCTGTGAGAAAACACCTTGACAAGAGAAACGTATGAGAAAAATGGTTTGTCTGGCTCACAGTTGTAGGTAATAGTCCATTATGGAAGAAGAGTCAGACTAGCAGGAGGGAGCTAATCACATCACATGCAAGGTCAGAGAGCAGAGAGGGGTAAATAGACTCATGCCACTGCTCAACTTCTGTCATAGTTAGTAGTGTCAACTTGATGCAAACCCAGACGTATCTGGGAAGAGAGAATGTCAAGTGAGTGATTGCCTCCATCAGATGTACTTGAGGACATGTCTGTGGCAGATTTTCTTAATTGCTAGTTGATGTAGTAGGGCCCAGCCTGGGCAAGTGGGGTTGGACTACATAAAAAGGGTACCTGAAAACTCCAGGACAACCAAGTCAGTAAGCAGTGTTCCTGTATTGTTTCTGCTTCAGTCCTTTCTTTTAGGCTCCTTCCTTGAGCTCTTTTCATAGCTTCCTTTGATAATGGACTGTAGCCTGTAAACAAAATAAACCCTTTCTTCCCAGGTTGGCTCTGGTCAGTGTTTAACCACAGCAACAAAAAGCAAACCAGAACAGAGACTGGTGCCAGGAAAATGGGGTGATCTGTGATGGACCTGGCCATTTGGCTCTTATTCTTTGGACTCTTGTGGGAAGAAGGTGGAGGATTTTGGAACTTGAAGCCGGAAATGGCAAGAGTGTTCAGTGCTTACTGAGCTGTTGTAGGAGATTGGAACATGAGAATATCAAGAAGACATTGGGACTTTGTGTCTTTCAACTCCAACAGATGATGGAGGCTAATGAATTTCAGAAGGATGCTTGAGAGTCCCTCAAAGACTCTTGGGAACATTTGTGTGATATTTTCAATTGGGAATCTGTGGTTTTTGGTCTACTGGGGCAGGAGAATCAGGTATGGCTGACAAGAGACTAGCGTCACTAATTTGAAACCTTTACTTTGCTAGAATAATCAATGCAGCTTAGCTGGAGCTGAAAAAAATTATCTGAGATTAGTAAAAGACCAGAATTACCGAGATACAATCTTCTGGGAAACACTTCCTCAGGGTTCATACATAGAAGTTGTGGTCTAGAGGGGCCAAGACTGCATCTCAAAGTGGATGCTAATGTTGGCAATGTGTAAGACTTTCCCATGTGGTATGGGTTTTGAAGGCATCAAAGAGAGGAGCTGAGGTTTGGTATCATGAAAGGTGGTGCCATTGGCATAGGTGCTACCCTAGTTGTAGTGAAGTCCCCAGGATTGAAAGGGTCTTGGGAGAAAACTGAGGTTTGGCATGATAAGAAGCCAGAGAGCCATTGGTAAAAATAAAGTCTTGGTTGTAGTGGTGATTCCTGGATACTGGAGATGCCAAGGAAATTTCATTACCACCAAGGAAACAGTACATATGTAGTGGAGCTAGCCTGAGATTACCAGACAAGCTATGTATGCTGTAAATAGCAGAGATGGATAGGTAATAATAATGAAGCCTGTTGGAGCCCAGAAGATTATGAGCAAGTCCCAGATGTCAGATTGTAATTTTACTCTGGATCTTTCTCCTTGGATTAAAAAGTTTGCAACTTATTTTGGATTGTTAAAGAGACTTTAGACTTTTAAAGTTTTTATAAACTTTAAAATTTTAAAGACTTTTAGACTTTTAAAGTTGGGCTGTGTTTTATAGTTTAATAGTAACACAAGGTCTTGGGGATAAAGAAAGGTTATGGTTTAAAGTGATGTATGAACATTACCAAGGGATGTAATATCATGGTTTCTGCCAACCTGAAACAAACATATTCCAGTAGAGAGATTCTCATCTGAGGAATTACCTCTATTAGACTGGCCTAAGGGCATTTTTAAATTGTCAATTGATGTAGGAGGGCCCAGCCCACTATTGGTTATGCCATTCCTAGACAGGTTGGCTTGAAATGGGTAAGATAGCTGAGAAAACCAGGAGAACCAAGTCAGTAAGCAGCCTTCCTCTGCTTACTGACTTTAGTTCTGCTTTAGTTCTGACCTGTAGGTTCCTGCCTTGAACTCCTGCCCAATCTTCCCTTCATATACAGGAATATCTTTCAATGCTTGAGCATAAAAGCTGATGCTTCTGCTGTGACAATCCTTTGTCCTGTGCCCCTTGTTCTACAAGTCAGCTTTCTCTGCCCCAAGTCTGCCTTGTGGCTAAGCTGTGTCTTGTGCAGCTATTGATGGGACAATTATTCTTTAAGCTATGCTGGCCTGTATGTGTTCTTTGTGATAGCCAGTTCATGTTTGACCTGCCTTCTCCTGGTGAGTGAGCAGCTGATACTCAAATCCAATCCTTTAGACATGTAGAAAAAAAATCTTCTTCATCTACCCTTCTGTTGTCTTTGGTACAGGTTCTTTTTGCTTTTTATTCGTTTCATTTTTTTTTCCGAGACAGAGTTTCTTTGTGTAGACTAGGTTGGCCTTGAACTCACAGAGATCCTTCAGGCTCTGTCTCCTGAGTCCTGGGATTAAAATCATATGCTACTACTGCCTAGTGTGGTGCAAGTTCTTATTGAATAGATGAATGCAATGTGTTCCTCCTGGAACTACACCCTATGATGTGGGAGTGTCATATATCAATCTGTTGATTTCATTGGTTAAGCAATAAAGAAACTCGTTGGCCCTGATAGGTTAAAACATAGGTGGGAGGAGTAAACAGAATAGGATGCTGGGAGGAAGAGGAAGTGAGCTCAGACTCTGCTCTGCTCCCAAAGAGACTTGACAGTTCTGCTCTCTGGAGCAGAGATGCCAGGCTCTGCTCTCCCAGGCAGCTCCAACCCAGAATGGACATAGGCTAGAATCTTCCCAGTAAGTACACCTTGGGTTGCTTACATGCATTATTAGAAATGGGCTAGTCCAGGTGCGAGAATTAGCCTAGAAGAGGCTAGATTGAAATGGGCCAAGCAGTGTTTAAATGAATACAGTTTGTGTGTTGTTATTTCGGGGCATAAGCTAGCAGGCGGCCAGGGTGCTGGGGACGCAACCCCGCCGCTCTTATTTCAACACACCCTACATGTTAATCCTGCAGGAATGTTTGCCGATAGTTCTCCAGTGTAGTTTATTTTGGGGGAAATAGTTTTTATTTTCAAATAAACTAGTGTTCTTTTCTTGTTAATGTTTGACATTTTTAATTGTTATGAATTAGACTTGTTCTCGAATATTTTCATTCATGTATACAAGACATACTGGTGATGCTTACCCTATATCTCCCTTCCAGCCCTGAGCACCCTCCTCCTACCCACAATTCTCATGTCTGTCTGCCTTGTTTTGTGATCCATTGAGCTTGGCATAGGCTTGGTGCCATCCACTGGAGCTTGGCAGGTTCTTCACCATGCTGATACCCTACTTTCACAAGCCTTACTTTTTTTCATCAGTTATAAATAGGGTTGAATTATATTCTCTGCAGGGTTATTTCCAACCTACAGAACTGTGTGTTGTGGGAGGCAATTGTACTATCATGAAATGTCTGTTTCCTTGGTCACAGCATACAGGTTGCTTTGTTTTGTTTGCAGTTTTGGTGATTGGAGCCCAGTTCTACACATGTTAGGCAAGTGATGTGTCATTGAGCTGTGCTCCCAGCCCTGTTTAATGTTTGCTACTGAACACATTTTTTGTGTGTGTGTTTTTAATCCCTAAAATACAAATACTTTGAGTCTCTTTTCCTGTGCTATTGTTTAGTTGTATATTTATGAGTAATTACTCTTTTGGAACATTAAAGTCACATTGAAGCTTTAAAAAATATTTTAGTATATATTTTAATTATTATATATTAGAATTTTAACATATACTTCCTGCATTCCTGCTTTGTCGTATCAATGGAGTATTTCCCCAATTCCAGTTTGAAAGTCTCTCTAGTTGGACAGTAGGCTTCATTGTTAGCACCTTCTTTTGTTTAATATTTGCTAAGTTTATCTGTTATTAAACATGTATATGGGGTGTGTGTGTGTGTGTGTGTGTGTCTGTGCACGCGCGTGCGCTATGGTGTGTATGTCAATACCAGAGGACAGCTTTTAAAAATTGTTTCTCCCCTTCCATCATGTAAGTTCCAGGGGTTGATGAGTCATCAGATTTGCTCAGCGGGGTCTTTTATGTGTTGAGTCTTCACTCCAGCCCAGCCCATTCTTCTTGAGTGGGGTACAGTGTTTTTCTTTCCAAGATGTTCAGATGTTAGAAATGATGAAACTGAAGTTTCCTTTTGTGCACCTGTGGTGCTGTCGCTCTCATACCTTTGTGAATTATAACCTTCAGCTGGTGGGCAGGGAGAAACACCCACACACTTGCCTAGTTCCAATCATGAGTTTCACTAGCCCAGTTCAATGGCTTTATGTTTTTGGCTGTCAGTCTATAGCTCATCCCTATGATCATCAATTTACCACCGAGTGACCATTCTTTTAAAGGAGTCAGTCATCTTTAGAAATGGCCCTCATCCTACAGAGTATCCCAGGAGCTCGTTATGTGGAAAACACAGTTTCCACACAGATATCATGATCAAGTTGGCATGTATTGTATGCATTCAGTTATCCCACAGATATTTAGTCAGCATCTTCTAGATGCAGTTACTAATTGAGGCACTGGAGATGGGTACCAGGCACTGAGAGAGATCCTGTGGTAGCTTATTGTTGTTGCCACAAATGACCACCAGACCAGCTACTCTTCTGACAGGCAGCATCTAAAATGAATCTGCAGGGTGAAAAAAAATCAAAGTATGATAGGGCACATTGATTCATAAGACAGCAGGAGAATATGTTCTTCCTGTTCATAACCCCTGCAAGTTTCTTCAGTTTTTGGCTTGTGTCACCCAGCTTCTGTCCTTTTAGGATCTTTACCTCCCTGTTTGCTTCTGATAGTACAGAAGCAGAGTTGTCTTCCTGGGTCATACTCCTTAACTTAGTTTGCCTGCTTGTCTATCAGTTCAATCCCTTGTTTCCTAAGGGATTATTTTGGGAGGCTATTATTCTGTCTCCCATTGTCTCTCTGCTTAGTGCCAGTTGACTGGGGTAAATGTCTCTCAAAGACTCCTGTGATAAAGTCTTGGTAATCAAGGAGATGGAAGGAGCTTTAAGAGATATGCCAACTAAAAAATGCCAAGCTATTCGAGGCCTGTGTCTGAATGGGGATGTCGGGACTCAGCCCGTCTTCCTCCTCACTCCTTCCTGGGCTGTGTACTGCCAGGCTATGGTCCCAACATGAAAGAGCCAAATGATTGTGGACCAGAGCCTCAAACACTGTGAGCTCAAACCAGCCTTTTCTGTTTTAAGCTAATAGTCTCAGGTATTTTGTTACAGTGCCCCAAACTAACACTAATCTGGATCTGCCGCCTTCGCTCTTTACGTCCAATCGGGAATGTTTCTCAGGTACTTGCCCACATTGCAGCTTCGGTACAGACTGTGGGCTGTTCAGATGCAAGCACCTCTCGGGGATATCAGCATGTAATGAAATAATGTATGCAGTAGCTGGTTGAAAAACTAGACGTGCAATTCATGCTATAAGTAATAGAAATCTATCAATATCACTCATGAAACTCTTATTTAAATTTCAACCAAAAATAAAAAATGGATAAAGCTCAAACCTGGAAAACTAGGGAAAGGCCATTGGGGGTAGATGGGAGGTGGGGATTGGGGGAGGAAAGGAGGGAGGGAAACTGTGGTTGGTATGTAAAATGAATGAAAAAACTTAATTGAATAATTTTTATTCTTGAAAAGGAAAAACACCTTACAATGCTAAGGACACAAGAAACTGAATTATGGTGTTCAGAGTGGGGGGATAGCCTGCAGAAGATCCTAGCTTGCCTTTCTGTTCACAAACACGAAGTGGTGGAGGAAATTCCCAACCACTAATTACTGTGGAATAGAAATTTTCACAAATAAAGTAACATTGGAGAACCCCAGAGTGTGAGTGCCTTGGTGGGAGCTTGTTCAAAAGACCCTCCAAAAAACAGCAGATTCTTTGAGAAACAGACCTGAAAACCGTGGCAAATGAAGTTCGGAGTGAATTCTAGGAACTGTGGGGATAATGTCTCCAGGAGGACTGGCGCTCACAGTGGCTGCTGGGAGCTTTCGAGTTGTCACTGAGCAGGAGAGCTTCCAGCCAGTCAGTTCTAGTTCCTGGAGATTGGGGGTAGAGTGTAGAAATATCTTCATAATGTCTTCTGGCATGAAGGTAACTTCAGTTTTCCTCTCCCCACCCCCATTTTATAGTGAAACGACTGCCAAATCAGAAGAAGTTGATAAAGACGGAGAGCCCCTGCTGTTTCTTTCTGTGCCTCACATTCAAGTCAGGAGCTTTGGGCAGCTGGCACAGTTGTTATCAGCTGCCAAAGACAACAAGCTGCAGGAGGCCCAGGCCTGTATTGAAGGTGATATGGACTCTCCACTTGGCATTTGAGCTTTCAGACACACAATCTTGGAGGAAGGGGAGGCCTTTACTATATTTACTTCAAAAAAATCTACCATGTAAAAGATTAAAAAGTCATATTACCATTTCATGAGGATTGTCATTCATTTCCCTTGGCTGAGCTGTTAGTGCCCACACCCAGTTTCTGCTTTACATGAAAAGTCTGATGTGTCAGGAGCAGCCTTCTAGGTTTCTCACTTTTCGCATACGGCTTCTGGAAGGCCCAGTGTCCTGTGGTATGTAAGCTCATGTTAGAAGACAGGTTACTGGGACCAACATGAGTCTACCTCCTCTTGGAATACCACATTGTGCATGACAGTCTGTTTCCTCCAAGAGGGATTTAAGCTTGTTCACTGGAAGAGACAGCTCTTCTTATGCTCCTTTCTCATTCCTCAACCATATTCCACTTGTGAAATCACAGACTTCTGTGAATAGTTATGTGCATTCAGCTCCATGAGAGTTTCTTTTGTTGAAGAGATACACCAACCTCATCATCATTCACCCATCAGTGTCTAATGTGGACAGTACTGTGGTAGTTGCCTCTAAAACTTGGGTACACACATTTCCCATCAGGAGAAACACCCACTCATAGGTAATGATGTATCCTGTGTCTTTTGTGGGCTTAGAATAGGGGACTACTGAATTACAGGAATGTGGTTAAAACTAAATTCTGCCTACTTCTATGTGAGGTGAGAGAATGCTCCTTAAAAATAAAAATATTAGGGCTGGAGAGATGACTCAGTGGGTAATCACACTTGTGCAAACATTAGGAATTGAGTTCAAACCCCAGAACTGACACAAAAATCTGGGCAGAGGTGACCCTAGCACTGTGGGGATGAGACAGGCAGGGGTCTCTGGAGCTAACTGCCAGCCTAGATCCAGGTTCAGTGCAGACTCAGTATTCAGGAGGGCAAAGAATGATAGAACAGAGTGCTGCCATCCTTCACATACCTCTGCAAGCATGACTGTGTGCAAGCAGCTTCATTTTTTATCTCATTCCAGCTGCTCATTGTATAGCCACCTATACAACAAAGCTACTACTTTGAGTAGGGATGATATCCCAAGTGCAGAGTCAGATTCAAGACAGTTAGCAGAGGAGACATAATCCGGGGACCACTGTATACTTGCTTTAGCTAACTGGTCATCATTCTTTGATGAATTTTGTCCTTTCTGTAAGGTCATGCTATGTAAGGTTCATAGCATAGGATCATCTGCAAGTCAGATCTTCCCTTGCTGTTTATTTTTTGTCTTTTTAAAAATCTTTATTAAACAACAGTCAAAAGAAGGGTCAGTTGAAGTGCTTGATGTGTGGCCTGTTCCTTGGTTCTTTCTTGTCTCACATCAAATCATACGAAGCAATCTTCTATGGCACAGCTCACTGTCTGTTGGCAAGGTAAAGTCATCATTTCAGTGATGTTAGACTATTAGAATTTGTCTTATGCACATAGTCTTTCCACATCCTAATAATTTCAGAGTTTCATTTTTCTAGAATGTTCTGTTCTAAAGCAAGTTTCTCTCATTTCCCCTTACTTTTAATTATATTGTTTTTGACTTTTACAAACTCCACCTTTTGCATCCCTGGGATCCAATTTTGTTTCTGTTTAACCCTGACCAGGAGTTTTTACTTGTCTTCCACAGCTTGGAACACAGGCAAATGCTGGCTACATTGATTTTCCCAACTCTTATCATCAAGAGGTCAGACTGTGTGCACCAAAAGGCACTGAGAGGTTAGGCACTTCAAGCATGAGAAAAAATTGTAGCAGACCTGTAGAGAGAAGGAAACGTTCTTGGGAAAGAAAGGGCTTAGGAATGGGGAACAATGGCAGGCATAGACAGGTGCAGACAAGGAATGGGAAACAGTGGCAGGCATAGCTTTTGTAGGCAAAAGCATTCTCTTCAAACCAACTCCGAGCATGTTAGTTGAATGTATCTACTGCGCACAGTATCCTATAGTCAAAAAAAGAAGGGCGTTAGTCTTGGTTTTGGTCTTACTAGGGAGAGGATATAACACACGGATATAACAGCTGATATAACACAAGGAAGAGCATATGAAGAGGTTGAAGACAGCTCCTAATACAACAGACTCTCAGAAAGAGAGAGGAACCTAACAGGCTTGGCCAGAGATAACTGAATGCAAGGAGCCAGTTAAGGAGAATTTGGTGGGATTTCTTAGTCTTTGTATCTGGATAATCTTTAATATTTATATTGATGGGTTTTTTTTATCAGCTAACAGAGACCCTATCGTGAAAATCTTGGGCTCAGATTATGGTGAAACGAAAGAAGATTCCACTACCTTAACTATTCTTGATACGATCAACAAAGACAATGAAACGTATACCAAAAGGAAAATTGCCATCCTGCTGAAGCAACTGGACCTGCATCTGCTCAATCATTCCCTTAAGCACATCTCACTGTGAGTGTGAAGAGAAGCAGTTCAAAACTAGTTACAAAACTATGCTTTTAGTATTGTAGAGAGGAAGTTACTGCTGTTGAGTTAACATTTCAGTTTACAGGAACAAAATGTCCATTCTATTGTATTTATTTATACAAGATCTAATGACAATTTCTTACCAATGCTAGTACAGTCTAATGGGGTTTTCTTCAGGCCAGAAGGCTTTAAAGACCTGGCTATTTTCAAAGACTCTTTAGATAATTGCACATATCATTAAGTGGCAATACAAATAGCATGCAGGGTTTATATAGGACAACTTGTGCTTATATTTCTAGTATTTTTTAGGCTGTGGTACTCTTATTATGAAATGAACACTTGAGAGTAGGCAAGATGGCTCAAGAGATAGAGACAGATGCTGCTAAGCCTGATGACCTAAGTTCTACACCTTGGTGAAGGGAGAAAACTGACTCACACAGCTTATCTTATGACCTCAATGCATGGCCTGTTGCCTGCACATGTGCCCACACACAGGTACACACAAATAAAGAAGCAATTTTAAAAGAAATTGACATTTGTGTGTATTTAGTGTTATTGTAGATAGAATTTTCTTTTCTGTTTACTTTTTAATTTTTCAAGATTTTAGCTATATACCTACTGTATGTTAGGACTTTCATTCTCATAGCTCCATTTTTGAGAAACTCTTCCCCTTCCCACTGGTTCATTGGTCCCCTTTGTCTCTCTGAACATTTTGTCTTCTACTTACAAGTCATACATGTATGTATAATATATACACATGATTTTCTTCATCAATATAAAACCTAGGTCAATGTAAATTTCTTGAGGTTTTTAAAATGGTTAAAATGACTTCAGTATTACTTGCAAATAGGCACCCCCCACCACACACACACGTTATGGAATGTATCCATGTGTTTCATTTTGACTCTGTTTCAAAGCACTTGATTTTTTAATGTTTGTTTCAGAGAGATCCGTTTGAATCCAGCGACGTTTAAGAAAGACATTGAGCTGCTCAAACGTTTTTCCGGAAAAGGGGAACAGACAGTGTTGGAGTCAATTGAATACACTTCAGGTTTGTGACTTCTCGGGTTAATTTGACATGATTTATATTTTCATAACTGTGTTTGAAACACTTTCCCATGGTTGTATTCCAGTTGAATGTTCAAGATAATGAACTCTCTTATATCTCACAATATCTATTTTGTTGAAGCAGATATACTTTCAACTTGCTAAGTTGAACTCCTCCTACTTATGGTTTCAGATTATGAATTTTCAAATGGCTGTCGCGCCCCACCATGGAGACAGATTCAAGGGGAGATTTGTTATGTGCTGGTGAAACCGCATGATGTGGATACTCTGTGCATCACCTGCAGTGCAGAAGGAGTGTTTTTAAATGGTGTAAGTACTTTTTAAAGAAATATAGCAAAACAGGATGTCTAGGGTTCTGTGCTAAGCGTGTGAGGGATGGCTTATATTGTGGGTTGCATCCTGATGGTTGTAGACAAAGGAGCATTGCTCTGAGAGACAGAAGCCTGATCCTTTTCCATTCATCTCCCGAATGAATTCCAAACCATCTTAGAATCAGCACTGCAGGGCATGGAGCCAGGTTTTGAAAAAAAAAAGGGCTTAGAAATAACCCTTCCCACATCTCCAAGCTAAAATTTCTTTAACAGAATCTGTTACATGTGAATTAAAGCTAGAAAAGGGCAAAAGGATAAGACAGGCAATTTTGGAAATATCTGTAGTTTATATCCCAAGAGTTCAAGGGCAAGGGAACAGAGGGGGGTCTTCAGTGTTGAAGCGAGGAGCAAGAGCCCCAGCTATAGAGAGTCCCCTTCTAGGCTGCACTTATTCTGGTGGAGCTCAGAAAGAGTCTTGACAAAGCAGGCCTTAGCTTCGGAGTGTGAATGCTGCCCAGTTTGTGCTGATACCTTTGGAGGTGGCAACCTGGGACCTGAGCCTGTGAAGGTGGAGCACCAGGCTCCCCTAATGACATCTTGGAAACTCTGTGGGAGAAGCAGAAACTGGACACTGGAATCAACTATTACATGGGATGCAAGGAAAGGAAAACCTATTACTGGGTTGACCTGCTGGGACAGTGGGCACTTTAGAAGAAGTGACATTCTTCCTTTGATCCTTGCTGTCTGAACTCAGACAACAAACCAACCTACCAAAACAGAAATTGAGTTTTAGATTCTAAAACTAAGGATGAAAGTGATAAGCAGCATACAGCCTCTGAGATCCTAGGTTAGCACATGTGAATTCTGGTCTCTTTTTGAGTTACTGAACTCACTAGAAGGAGCTCAGCCACCTCCTCAGTAATCTCATCTTTGGAACCTTTGGCGTGAAGTTGGGATTTACAAGGAGGTTTCAGGTCCCAACAGAGACCCCACCCCATCACAGCAGTGACTTCACAAGGTCTTAGGCCCTGCCTGTGTTGGTTTGAGGGTCCTAGTACCACTTCTAAGAAGACCTTCTGGCACATTTGAGTGCTTTTCCTTCATTAGTAGTTAACTTGACTTATTTCTGCATGCAGAAAATAGGTCATAATTCTGCTCATTGGTTTGTGTGTTTTTTAGAAAAGTAAAATTTCTAGTAGAAAATATAAAAGAAGAAATGATTTCTTTTCACTTGTAGAGAGGAGCAAGCAGCTTGTGTTTCTATCAAGGATTAGATTATGAAGCATTAAATATTTCAGATGTAAAAGAAAAATTCAAACACCAAAACCAGAAAAACTCCCAATTCCCAAATATTAAAAACAGTATAGTTGTGCTAGTTGAGACTGCTCATTAGTTTCCCAGAAGTCCAGACCCAAAATAATCACTCAGAAACTGTATTATTGCAACACTGTTTGGCCTATTAGTTCATGCTTCTTATTGGCTAGCTCTCATATCTTAAATTAACCTATTCCTTTTATTTTATATTTTACCACGAGGCTCATGGTTTACTGGCAAGGCTTTAGGCGTCTGTCTCTTCCAGGGCTACATGATATCTCCCTAACTCCACCTTCTCTATTTGCTTAGAATTCCAGCCTTGCCCTATTCTGTGCTGCAATAGGCCCCAAGCAGCTTCTTTATTAAACAATGATATTCACAGTATACAGAAAGAAATCCTACATCACCTCCCCTTTTCTGTCTAAATTAAAAGGAAGGTTTCAACCTTAACATAGCAAGATTACATACAACAAAACAGTTATCAAGCAAGAATTTTAGTTACAATAGTCATATCTACTTTATCTTTTATCATAACTAAGGAAAACTATAATTATAACTATTATTTCTTCAATTTTATCAAAGACTCCAGAAGAATTTCATATTGCCTAAGTAAACAGGAAGTGCATTGTAAGCAACTTCCAAAACTCTAGAATTGACAGAGACATCTTGCTACCTGGACAGTCACCCAAAGTTCTTCTGTAACATTGTGGGCAACCATCTTTAGCCTATAGGCCCATAGTATCTAGCAGATTTTTCCATGAAGTTGGAAATTCCAATGATAGTTCTGCCTATACTGGCTGTTTGTCAGTCACTTTCTTCTATGTCCTTCAGAATGCCTGGTAGATTTTATTTTTATTTTTATTTTTTTATTTTCAAGACTGGGTTTCTACATAGCTTTTGGTTCCTGTCCTGGAACTAGCTCTTCTAGACCAGGCTGGCCTCAAACTCACAGAGATCCGCCTTCCTCTGTCTCCCGAGTGCTGGGATTAAAGACTTGCGCCACCACCGCCCAGCTGTCTGGTAGATTCTTTCATGAAGCAGGAACCCCGAAGGACTGTCTCACCTTCTTTATGCAGCTTCTGTGGGTCTTACATGTCTAGTTCATACAGCATAACATCAAGCAGTCCAGGCAAGAGCAGTTTCTTGCCCAAATGGCTAGCAAACTCCATAAGGAGCATCTTTGATGCCTATCACCTCTTGAAGTATATTGGTGCCACTAGAAGCAAATGTGTCTCATTGTCATGAAAAGTCCTAAGTTCTTAAACATTTTAAATGCCATATTCTGTTAGTCTTTGAAAGGTTTGAAGAATAACTGTGCATATGAAATATATCTCTGTACATCTAGAAAACCTAACATGACTACAAGCTTGACTATTATAGATTATTATCTATTAACCTGTATTTCTTAATATATATTACATTTTTAAATGAGCTGCACAAGCATAATACCAACACCAAGAATAGAAATATATATAACAAAATTGACCTTAAATTTATATTAATAAAGCAAGGTATACAAATACAGAGTATTAATGTATGTAGCATATTCCCCTTTAAATGTAAGCAAACATTTACAAACAATATCTGGGAATTTGGGCATAGTTCTCTCCAAACTGCTTTCTGCTTTCATTGGGTGAAATAACTGGGGGTTCACGGAGACCTTTCTGGGGATGTTGGTCCATCAAACCACATTAGGAATCCACAGGTTCTCATTTTCTGCAAAAATAAAGGCAAAACCTGTTTTCCAAAGCAACATATCTTTAGACCCAAATTTTGAAGTTAAGATACCTTTAAAACATATATGTTGGTTTAGCTTAGCAGCCCATACATGAAGTGTCTCTCTGAACTTACCTCCTTCACAATCAAAAAATTAAAAGAAAATAGAATCATATATATTATATACATTATATATTATGTATAATATTATATATATTATATATTCTAGACTCTGTGTATACTACCTCTTTACATAGCTTATTTTTCTTTATTCCTTTAATCTATGACAGTCTGTACTCTGTCTCTTTAAAGATTTTGCTTTATTTTTTTCTATATTCTTTTTCTTCTCTCTCTCAAGCCCATGTATATTTATCCAACACTGTGACCCATTTAGGGGTCTTTTCCGTCTGAATTTGTCTTTATTGTGTATTGGTTATCCTTTTCTGACCAGGACTGCTTCTTAAAATGCTAAGCTGCATGGCTAGGATTAAAACTGCTTTGCCTTTTGGCTCTGCCCAGTCCAACATGGCAGATGTCCCTTCACTGCCTCTGAGAATGCTGGGTGGGAGCCGTCCTCACCACCTCAACTCTGGTAACCAGTTGACCCATTCTGCTACCAACTAACTTGCAGCATGCTGCCCACAAAACCCATTTAAGTACTCAGCCTCCTGAAAGAGTCAAGAGTTCATGCTGCCAGCATGACCAGGAACTTATGCTGAGTCAGTAAGCCTTCTCTTAAAGGAGCCACAGCACACTGCTAACCACCAGCAAACCGATTCCATCTGAAAAAAAAATGTGGCTGCCAAAAAACTATGCTTTGGTTCCCATTTTTATGGGTCTAGAAGCCCTTTTAAAAAACAAAACAAAACCTTTTTTAGGTTTTATGTGGATCTATGCCCCAGACAGTTGGCACCATTCTGTTGGTTGAGACAGTTCATTTGTTTCATGGCTGCCCAGACCTGAAATAACCACACATTAACTGTATTAGTTCAACACTGCTTGGCCAATTAGCTCACACTTCTTATTGGCTAGCTCTTATATCTCAAATTAACCCATTCCTATTATTTTATATTTTACCATGAGGCTTGTGGTTTACTGGCAAGACTCTGGGTATCTGCCTCTTCTGGCAGCTACACAGTGTCTTCCTAACTCTGTCTACTCTCTCCTCCTCTATCTTCTCGGAATTCCTGCCTTGCCCTATTCTGTGCTGCAATAGGCCCAATGAAGCTTCTTTATTAACTAATGATATTCATAGCATTCAGAGGGGAATCCCACATCATACTTCTTTGTAACTTCTTATGATCGAATAATACAGTAAGGAAGAAAAGGAAATGAAAAAAGGTGGAGGTGGGTGGAAGAGGAGATAAAAGCAAAGGGAGAAGAGACATGAAGTTCTATAGAGGCGCTAGCTCTGGAAAATAAACTCATAGCAATCTGCTCCACACAGACAAGTCTGAGTGTGATACACACAGGCTTTTCTCTGGTGAGATTCTAAGCCTTGGCCCTTTTGTGACTTCATCAGTTAAGGTTCTTGAAGTCATAATGTATTTTCACAGTAGGGGAGAGCAGAGGAAGGGACGTCACTGACTGGAGAGCAGAGCTCGGCGTGCACAGAGGAGGTACTCAAATGTGGGGAGGGGCAGACGGATAAAGGACTGAGAAAATGAACTCAAGAGGAAGGATGTTGCCTGTACACATCATACACAAAGACTGCCAAATGCATCTTTTAGCAAAATAATCATGAACATGAGATGAGAATTTGTAGGAGGTAGGGGGAACTGATAGGGATGGAAATGAGATAATAAAGGCTGGAAGGGAGCATAAATGAAATGCATTCATATATTATGAGATTGTCAAAACAAATTTGATTAATAAAAATACCAAAACATATACATAGACTGTGACATTCTGCTCTGATTCCTCTCTTGAAGGTTCCATTAATCATTCCATCAAACCTTTCCTCCCAAAGGGCAAAACAGAAGAGGAGGGACAAATTAATTATGAGAGACAAGGTGAAATTTACAAAGACCTTGTTACATGTTTAAAAGACAAATCACCTGTATTTTCAGAAAATATGTCTAAGCAGGTAAGCTCTGATATTCCTTTTATATTACTTGACTACAACTTTTTATAGCCTTTCCATATTTTCATTACTCTAAACTCAAACTGTATACCTGTTAAGTAATAACATCATATTCTTTCTTTTAATTCTTATCTCTGGTGAACTCTGATATATTTTGTTCTACTAATTTACCTAGTGCATGTGTTTCATATCAGTGGGATCACAAGATCTACTTAATATCTATGTGAGAGAAATCATATGGAGTACCAAAGGGTACTGACCCTTTGTAATTTCACTTAACATGTTATCTCATGGTTTATCATGTTTATATTTCCATTCCTTTTTATAGTTTCATTCTATTTCACTTACATGTATGCTCTACTGTCTTTGCTTCATTTCCTGGCATAGATATAAAATACCACCACCAAAAGCAACTTAAGGAAGAATGAGTTTATTTTTGCTCACAGTCCCATGTTACAATCCAGCATTGCAGGGAAGACAGTAGATACAGGAAAGAGTTAGTCACATTCACATTCAAGACCAGAGAGAGAACAAATTAATGCAGGCATGCTTTTAGTGCTTAACAGGCTTTCTCTGCCACCACACAGTTCAGTATCTCGGGCTTAGGGAATGATGTAGCCCACACTGCAGGTCTTCCCACCCAATAAACATGATTGAGATAATCTCCCACAAACAAGCCTACAAGTCAGCTTGATCTTGTAGATTCTCTTCCCAGCTGACTGTAGATTGTGTCATGTTGATAATTAAAACTAACCAGTACACACACATTTGGATGTACTAAATTGGGCTTTTCTATCCCATGAACACCAGTCTACAAGAATCCATTTGAGTTTGTACTTTTTTGGATGGCCACTTGGAAGTGGATTTTTTTTGGACACATGGTAATTTTATGTCATCCTGCATCGTTTGAAATTTTACAAGGAGTACAAGAGCAGTGATGCCCAAGAAGTCCATTTATTCCCTATCCCCTCCAGCATGTATTTCATATTGTTTGATAGAATCTTAGTGAATTACTGGTGGGCCTCTGATATCTAGCCTCTTATTTCCTTTTATCTCATCCTACTACATCCTTGCTTGACTTTCTGAAAACATTTCATTTCTTTTAAATATTGCACATGTCTTTAACTTTTAAACTTTCTTATAAGATTATTTAAATGTCTAGCTTTGCTCTTTGACGATTTCATACATGAATACAGAGTGTCCTACTTACTTTTACCCTGCCCTCTTTTGTCTCCCTCCCACCTCTGTCACCCCAACACTCTTCACCACCCTGTTATACCCAACCTCTTCTTCATGTCTTTTTACTTTATCTTGAGATCTATTGATTTTAAATGTCCAAGTAGTCACAGTTTGGAACTTCCACTAGAGCCTGGTGAAATCACTGCTTGGAATACAACTGAAGACCATGACTGTCTAACCCTCAGAATTCATTAGTTGCTAATAGTGCAACAGGGAGGATCAGGACCCCATGATCTATGGCTGGCGGTTGACAGGTCAGCCTTGTGTAGGCTCATTAATAGGTAACCCCAGCTGCTGTGGAACCAGGTTTTGCAGTGCTGTGCTGTGTCCCAAAGAGCATTTGCAGTCCTTCTGATCTCATTGGCTTTTATTTTTTTTTTTTCACGCCCTCTTCTGTAGTGTTCCCTAAATCATGGAGGGGTGATATAAATGTTATGTTTTGGGACAATGCTCTATTCTCAATATTTTTGTGAAATTTGTCAATCATTCCCCAAATTATTGTTAGTATATTAGCTTCTCTAATATATTGCTGATCATTGTTTTTGAAAAGCTTTCTTTTTTTTTAATAGCAGCAAGGTATATTTATTTTATCTCATTTAGGATTTATATTTATTTATTTATTTTATTTTTTATTAAAAATTTCCGCCTCCCCGCCTCCCTTTTCTTTCCCCCTCCCCCCACTCCCCACACCCTACTTCCCTCCCCCTCCCTCTCCAGTCAGAAGAGCAGTCAGGGTTCCCTGCCCTGTGGGCAGTCCAAGGTCCCCCCACTACATCCAGATCTAGGAAGGTGAGCATCCAAACAGGCTAGGCTCCCACAAAGCCAGTACATGCAGTAGGATCAAAACCCAGTGCCATTGTCCTTGGCTTCTCAATACAGAGAAGCTTTCTTTTTGTATTTTTCTATTTTCTAGAGAGACAGACCAAGAGGGAGGGAAGAAAGTGGAGAAGAAAAAGAAATATTTTGGGGGAGAAATAGATATTTTCAGAAACTCATTAATGCACTTTTTGGAGACAAGCAAATCTGAGTGAGGGAGGTCAGTGTAGTGGGCTGGAGTACAAACAAGCACAGAATCATGCCTGAAACCCTAATTCCATGATCCATTGAGCTGGAGATGCAGGCAAGGATTTCTGTTTCCAGCCCAGGGAGAGTTTCCTCTTTGGAAATCCTAGTCTTCCCTCTGTAGGCCTTCATCTTCCTGGGTGAGGTAGGCTCACATTACAGAGGGTAATCAACTTAGAGTCTACTGATTCAAATGCCAATCCTTGCTAAAATTACATACACAGCAATATTTAACTTGGTATGAGCAAAAGCATTAGGCACCTTAGTCCAACCAGACAGAGACAAACAGAACTATTAAACCTAGTTGTGCTAATTTTCTTTACCCTTACATGCTTTTAACAGTGTGAAAATGTCAGTGACAGCCCCACCCATCCCTCAAAGTCAACAGTGCCATCCTTGCACTACCTTCCTCTGGGCTACCTGTCATTACTAGAGATTTCTGTTTGGTTTGCTTCATGAGACAAGATCTTAATAGATAGGGACAGCTTTGATCTCGGGATTTTTCTCCCCAAGCCTCTAATTACCAGGATTACAATCATGTTCCATTCTAACTGTGAAGGATTTTATTCCAGCAGTCCCCTAGCATAGGATGATATTGGAGTGTCATCAATGGTTGTTCGAATTCTCCAGAAAACGCTAGTCTGATGTTTCACCCAGGTGTATAAACTGTTGCTGCAGGAAACAACTCGTAGGTTGGTGATATTCAAGAGTTAGGGATTCACTGGAGTGCCCTAGTTTTAGGTTCAGGACTTACTTTACCTTCATCTATATCCTGGAACCTTGAGTGAGAAGCATCTCTGGTTGTTTTGCCAATGAATAGCATTTATTTCCTGTAAGAGAAGAGAAGGAAAAAATGTACTACAGAAGGGGCTAGGCACATCCCACATCCTTGAGAGGACTGGAGTCTCTCAAGAGTCAGTTTCCCATCTGCATCTGGATACAAGCTTCCCATGTTTGAGTGATCTCCTTAGATGTGCTTTTTGTACTGAAATCTTTTCTGTAGATTTCTCCTGAGAAAGTCATTAACCATGTGCTGTTAAAACTATTTTGATGTGTTTCATCTGTCTTTGTTGAGGATGGAGTTTTGTAGGGGTTTTCAGATTAAGATTAGTAAGGTCCAAATCTATTTTATTAGAATCAGAAATCTAACATGTCTATTTTTAATCATATGCTTAAAAACCCTTTAGCAATATTTTCATATAGCAAAATTCACAGATGATCTTGCATGTAAAATTGCATGGTATTCAGACAAATGTATGTGGAACCCCCAGATCAAGATAGAGAACATTATCATCATTATTGAAAATGCTTTCTTATTGATTCTGGTTTCATTTCTATCTCTCATAGACAACCACATCAGATTTCTGCCCTTACAGATTAGTTGTACTTAGTACTTCATTGATTCAAATGATATAATTAACTTTCAGCTTGTTTTTGAGATTCATCTATGTTTGTATTATAAGTTTGTTACTTTTGTGAATTAATACTATTTCATTGTCTGGACAACCACAGCTTGTTTTAGCTGCTCACTTATTGATAGTCATGGAGGTCATTTCCTGGTCTGGGCTTTCAGTGCACTGTTCTATGACCTGGATGTCTGCAGGTCTGCTAGGATGAACACTCTTCCACTTCCCACATTCCTTAAAGTTTCTTGTCTTGATCCATCTAGATAGAAGTGTGCCAGTCTGAATCAGTTTTTTGAAGAGTCAGATGGTTCACTGATTTTCTCTAAGTTTGACTTGTATTTCTGCTCTTTTTTTTATTATCATTTTCCTTCCTTCTTTCTTCCCTCCCTCCCTCTCCCCACCTCCTTCCCTTTTTCTTTCCCCTCCCACTATTTTTTTTTTTGCTTTCCTTGAGATTCATTTACTTTCCCTAGGAATTTCTTAAGTTGGAAATTTAGTCCATTGATTTGAAGCTTTTGATTTGTCTTTCTGTTATTGTTGGTGTTATTATTATTTGCTGTGAAACTCTTTAGATGTACCATAAGAACTATGTTCCTTAAATTTTGATCCGTGATTTTTTTTATTCAAATCAACATATCTGAGGATATTCCCAAGACCATTCTTTTATTGATTTCTAGTTCAATTCCAATGTATTAGGAAAAATATTCTATATAATTTTAGAAGTCATGTGTTAATGTTCATTTTATGGGCAGACTGCGATATCACTTGGTGGTTTGTCCCTTGTGCATTAAGAAGAGTATGTATTGTGGTCTTGGGTACTGTGTCCTACACATTTCAGCTGAGTAAAGCTCACTAATATGCGCTCTCCTATAGTCTCCCTCATAAACAATATTTTATTCCTGAGTACTGTGAAAGAAATTGTGAAGATTTCTATTTGGGGGTTTACCAACTTTGCTAAAGGTTCTGTTCTTGCTTCCTGTATTTTAAAATTCTCTTGGTGAATAACTTTGGGAATTGTGTACTAATGGATTTTTGACATTTTTCTGCCCCTCTTTATCGATAATATGTTTGATTTTGGAGTCTATTTACCAGATTGTAGGCACAGAAGACTTCTGACCTCCATTTTTTGTTGTTTGGTTGGTTTTGTTCTACTAAGTGGTCCTGAAACCGGCAGGATAACGTCATATTACAAAAGTAATATGGAGTAATAAGGAGCAGAAACCATATTAACCTCAAAAGAGCTAAGTAACAACAACATTCTGAGTCAGGATGTGTAGCTACACTTGTTGTCCACAATTTTGAGCAACTTCCAAACTTTCTGAGCAGCAAACAAGGTGGAAATAGGCTCACGTCATTGGGCATCCACATAAATGGGTTCTTATGCTTGCTTGACAGGCATTTTACTGCCTGAGCAACTTCCACTGCTCCACATTCTTATGTTCCTAACTCTGCGTGGGCTATGTCTTTTATTCTTTATCTATTTATTTTGAATGATTTTATTTTACTTCATTTTTAAATTGTGTCTGTGTGGTTATGAGTGAAGGTGCCCACAGATATCGGAAGAGGTCAATGGATCACCTGCAGCTTCATTTGCAAATGGTTGTGAGCTACCCAACATGGGTGCTGGAAACAGAACTCAGTTCCTTTAAGAGCAGCAAACACTCTTCAGTGGTTTAAATGAAAATGGCCACTATGGGCTCATATATTTGAATACTAAGTCCCCAGTTTGGAGAATTGCTTGGAAAGGATTAGTATAGTGTTAGTCACTGGGGGTGGGCTTTGACATGAGCGCTCTCTCTCTCTCTCTCTCTCTCTCTCTCTCTCTCTCTCTCTCTCTCCCTTTCTCCCCACCTCTTGTTTATGTGTCAAAAGTGAGCTCACAGTTACTGCTTCAGTGCCATGCCTTCCTGTCTACCACTATCTGCCACACCATAATAATCATAGACTCTAACTCTCTGGAACCGTGAGCCCTAATACATGTTCTCTTTTATAAGTTGCTTTGGTCATGGTATCTCTTCACAGCAAAAGAAAGGTACCTGAGACACACCCATTTTTTATGTTTATCTCTGTATTTATTTTTAGCAACAAAACATAACAAAATATATAAGATTAAACCAAAACTACCATTTCAAAATTGGACAACCAAGCCAACAGAAAAAATAAGAGCCCCAAGAGAAGGCAGAAGAATCAGAGATCCACTGGTTCACACATTCAAGAGTCCTATAAGCATATTAAATTGAAAGCTCTAGTATGTATGCAGAGGACTTGGTGCCCTGTACATGCTGTTTTTGTCTCTGGGAGTTCATATGAGCTTTGCTGAGGTGTTTTAGAGGCCCTTGTTTTCCTGATGCCCTCTGTTCCCTCTGTCTTCCCCACTCCTTCTGCCTCCTCTTCCGAGAGGTTCTCTGAGCTCCGAGGGAAGGAAGGAGACATCTTGTTTAGAGCTTTGTGTTCCAAAGTCTCTCTCTGTGTGTAATGTCTGGCATTGAATTTCTATATTTATATGTTCCCATCTGCTTTAGGAAGAAGCCTCTCTGGTGATGGCTAAGTACAACACTAAATATGAGTATAGTGAACTACCATTAGAAGTTACTTTATTTTTAGACCAGTAATATTTGTTTTTACCATAAGTCTCTGTGCTATGTAGTCTCTGGTTCTTGGTCTTCCAAGCAGTGTCAGGTATGGGTTCTATCTTAAGGAGTAGGCGTTAAGTCAAATCACACATCAGTTAATTTGTGCCACAATTACCTTCACATATTTTGAAGGCAGGACAGATTGTAAATCAAGGAGATTGGTGACTCTGTTTTTCTTTCCATAGTGTGTAGAGTACCTATCCATGAAAAAGACACTAGAACAAGAGTGTGGGTGAAGGTTCTAAATAGGCACCAGCTCAGTTTCTTCATGTTCGATGAGTTGTGTAGGTGTTATCTTCAGCAATGGGGCCTTGCTATCAGTTTATGGAACGCATCCTATTATCTTGACAAAAGCTTGGTTTGTTTGGGGAATTTCCATGGGACCCTTTCAGCCAACAATTCAAATGGAGAAACTCAGACCTGGTACTAGAAGCTTAATTTGTTGACAAGTGATGGCCAGTTGGCCATCTCATTATTTCTAGACTTATTTAAAATAATATGTATGTAATAGGAAGTTTCCTCTGTGGGAGGCTTCTATACTGCCCCTCAAATGCTCTTCAGTTCTAGCCATCTCCTTTTTTCCCTCAATCTCATCTCCCCCACTCCTACCTGAGCCTCACATTCTTGCCACCCCCAACTCCTGTTCACCAATAAAATCTATAGTTTTCCGCTTCCAGAGAGATTCTTGTGTTCACCATCCAGTCCCTTCTTCTATGCCTAACCTCTCTGGGACTTTTCATTTATTTAATGGCTAATATATAAGTATATTATATAAGTATATGGCCAGATATAAGTATGCATATATAAATATGCATACCATAATTATTTTTCTGATTACCTCACTCTAGATAATTTTTTTGTAGTTTCATCCATTTGCCTGCAATTTTCAGAGTGTCATTTTTTTAAAGAGTTGGTAATACTCCATTGTGTAAATGTACCACATTTTCTTTATCCATTTATCTGTTGAATGACATCTACATCTTTCCAATTTCTGGCTATTATGAACAGAGCAGCAATGAACATGGTTGAGTAAGTGTCTCTGTAGTAGGATTAAAGGTCCTTTTGGTACATGTTCAAGAATACTATAGCTGGATCTTGAAGTAGATTGACTGCCATCTTCTTGAGGACCTGCCATACTGATTTCTGTGCAAGATTGAAGGCCCACCAGCAGTGGATAAGTATTTCCCCTATTCTATGCCTCACCAGCATAATCTGTCAATTGTTTCATTGATCTTAGATATTCTGACAGATGTAAGATAAAATCTTAAAGTAGTTTTAATTTGCATGCACCTGGTGACTAAAGATGTTGAACCTTTCTTTAAGAGTTTCCCGGCCCTTTGAATTTCCTCTTTTTAGTATTCTGTTTAGATATGCTCCCCAATTTTTAAAAATTGAGTTATCTTTTTTCTTGATATCCAGTTTTTAAATTTCATTATATATTTTGGATATTGACTTTCAGATATGGAGTTAATAAAAATCTCTTTCCATTTTGTAGGCTGTTTCCTTGTCTGAATGATGGTGTCCTTTGCTGTGCTGAAGTTTTTCAGTTTCATGAGGCCCCATTTATTAATTGTTCTTAATGATTGTGCTAATGGTTTTCTGTTTGGAAAGCCTTTTCCTGTGCCAATGAGTTCAAACCTATTCCTCACTTTCTCTTCTATTGTGTTCATTATATCTGGTTTTATGTTGAGGTCTTTGATATATTTGAAATTAAGTTTTGTGCAAGGTGATAAAAATGGATCCATTTCCATTCCACTATATGCAGTTGTCCATTTTGACCAACGCCATTTGTTCCCTTTGTTCCAGTGTGTATCTCTGGCTCATTTATATAAAAAAAATCAGGTGTCTGAACTTGTGTGAGTTTATGTCTGGGTCTTCAATTCCATTTATCAATGAAAGGCAACAGAAACATTTGTAACCACTGAACCATCTCTACAGGCCTAGAATATATTTTTCTATTTCTGTTTACCTTCAAGGTGCTTCATAAGAAGCCTATCCTTAACTTGTGTAATTTTTATGTTGTATATCCTAGTCAATACAAGGATGGACTTTGGAATTTTTTTCAAGAGGTAGTGAGGAATATGTAGGTGTATGTATGTTGCCACAGATCTGAGTTCAGAAACATCATATTACTCCCCTATGTGACTCTAACAAAGACCTTGGTCTTGAAGTTGCCCTTCTTCAAATTGAGTTGCTAAGCAACAGCAGGTAGATGAATGTGAGATTTTGCTGACTTTTTCCAGCCCTTAATGCCCTTCATGGTATTAAGTAGTTCAGAGGTGCCACTGTAACCAGTACTCTTTCTCTCTTTTTAAATAAAGGAAATTAGATTCAATGAGGAACAACAGAGGGATCCTCAGGTTTATGAGAAATCCAAGACAGAAGATGTCCAATTATCTGCAACTAGTTCAGAGAAGAATAAAATGGAGAAGAACCAGATTAACTTTGGGAAAAGTCATATGACCAAGAGACTGGAGCCAAGCTTAAACTGGAGAGCAACTGTTGATTACAAAGAGTATGTAGTTGTTTACATGGGTTTTCTGATGAGTCTTCAATCACTACACAGTTCCCTAATTTTTCCTGGAATTGTACATCTTGTTAGAAAATAGAGTATAAATTTCCCTGTCTTTGCTGTGTGATTCCTTTTTCCTTCTTTGTATATCTGAAATGGAAGGATGTGGCAGGACGAGTGCTTGTATTCTGGCCACTATGATGGAAGAAGAAAAACACAGCTCTCTTTTGTGTAGTAGGTGAGCAAGAAAAAGTGATATGAGAAAGAAACAATGATAAAATACATTGAGAAATAACATTAAACATATAAATTTATGATTATAGTTATATGGAGTTTCTCAAGAAAATTTCTGTAGCAATAGTATAAGCAGAACTGTAATACTTTAAGGAAGAATGGAGTCTCAGCAATGTTAACAGACCTATGTAAAATGAGCCGGGCAATGGTGGGGCACGCCTTTAATCCCAGCACTCGGGAGACAGAGGCAGGTGGATCTCTGTGAGTTCGAGACCAGCCTGTCTACAAGAGCTAGTTCCAGGACAGGCTCCAAAGCCACAGAGAAACCCTGTCTTGAAAAAAAAAATGGACAGTGGGATACTTCGGGTTACTATTGCTCTTACATAACACCATGATCAAAAGGAACTTGGGGAGAAAGGGGTTTATTTCACTCACAGTTACACATAACAGTTAATTATCAAAAGCAGTGAGATCAAGAACTTACACAGGGTAGGAACCTGGAGGCAGGAGCTGATACAGAAGCCATGGAGGGGTGCTGCTTATTGACTTGTTCCTCATAACTTGCATAACCTGCTTTCTTATAGAAATCAGGGCCACCAGTCCAGGGGTGATTCCACCCATAATGGACTGGGTCCTCCCACATCAATCCCTAATTTAAAAATACCTTGCCACAGCCTTGCCTGCCTACAGCCTAACCCTATGGAAATATTTTCTTAATTGAGAATCCCTCTTTTATGATGACTCTAGCTTGTGCCAAGTTGCCATAAAATTATCCAGTACACATACTAAACATAAGAAATATAGTTAGTAAAAGGCGAAAGATTTATACGATCTGAAGAGAAACCGAAAAACCAAAAAAAAAAAGAAATATAGTTAGTAAAATTATAAATTATAGCCAGACCATGATGGTAAACATTTTTAATTCTAGCACTCAGGAGGCAAAGGCAGGGGGATCTTTGTGAGTTTGAGGTAAGCCTGGTGGTCTACAGAGTTAGTTCCAGGACAGCCAAGGCTACACAAAGAAACCCCATTTTGAAAAGTAAAAACAAAAATTGAAAAAAATTATTGTTATTTAAAGGCTTAGAAAATTACTCAGACAATGACAATGAAGTATTTGCCTTGCATGTATGAGAACCTGAGTTCAATCCCCAGAACTCAAAAATAAAAACAAAATATAACAGACACAGTGATATGTGAGTCTAATTCTACTGCTGAGGCCAGCTTAGTCACCTTGCTGTATCCAGAGCAATAAGATACCCTGCTTCAAATAAAAGGTGACAGCGCTTTCCTCTGACCTCCACATGTGTGTACACATATATTCACCTGTACACGTGGAATATGTATGTATATGTAGATGAATTCCCCTCACACACACACACCACATTGTATGTGAGTGTCATTGCTACTCAAATTCTGAAGCTGTCAGAAGTTCCTAGAGCAAATCTGTTGTGTTTCCATTAGCAAGTTATTTATTTTAGAAAGATAAATGGTTGATTATGGCTCATGATTTTAGAAATTTCAGTTCAAAATCTCTGTAAATGATTGTTTCTTGGAATCCGGTAAGTATGTTAAATGTCCACATGGCAGAGTATGACTGCTTACCTTGTAGTCAGGAAACAAAGAAAAATATGGTGGGTGGCCAGGTTCTTATGAGGTCACACCCCAGTCCTAAAGACCTCTCATTAGGTTCCTTCTAAAGATTCCATATATCAGTATCTCAGATCAATTTTCTTTTTTCTCTTTTTTATTTCTTTCCTTCCTCCCTCCCTTTTCCCTCTTTTTTTCCATCATTTCTTCCTCCCTTCTTTCTCTACTTCCATCCCCCCTCTTTCTTTCTTTATTTCTTTTAATGGAATCTTATGCTATAGGTTGACTTCTAACCTGTGGTAATTCTCCTCCTTCAGCTTCCTGTAGGCATGAGATATATGACTGACTGGCTGGGGTCAAACTTTTTTGGTTGTTCAGAGGCTACTCGTGATCCCAACTAGAGCAAGCCGTTCATAAACTTTAGCCAACAGAACACAAATGCCAGCCTGGATTACTAGCACATGGCATAGTCACCCTTATATTCAATGTGACTTGGTTGGTTTAATAACCTTTTCTGGAATTCTGAAGCATCAAGGGTGTGGTTTGTTCCAGCATTAAATGCAGAGGATCTATCTCCAGGAGAAAGGTTCTGTGGGAAGAGAAGAGGCTCTCACTTTTCTGATTTCCACTGACTTCATTACACTTGACCTCTGTAACTATATGGAAGGGCTTTGCAAAAAACATATGTGAGTCTCTGCTAATGGGAAAGTGGATTTTAAAATATTGTCTTTAATTATGAACTGCTGTATTTAATCAGAGCCGAGAATGTGCTAAGGAGCACACTAAGCCTATAGAAATTCCTGAAGATCCAGGTGAGTCCCTACAGCAGTGTTGGCCAGTGCTGGTGAGAAACTAGTACCTGTGACTGAAAGCAGTAAGCCCTCTGAGGGGAGGGCTAGGATGACGATTTCACTAAGCCATGGCAGCCTGTAAAGACCCTACTACTAGTTCTTAGTGCATAGCATATTTGGCAAAGGGCTGCTGCTTATTTTATTGTTTGAAAATGGAGTCTGGAACCCAGGCTGGCCTTGAACTTGGTCTCTGGAATGCTAAGATTACAAGTGTGTACCACCACAGCCAGTATAACCAAACAGCACACAACATTTCTTCAATACATAAAACACATATCCATGCTTGAAGAACAAATACGTACCTGTAAGTGTGAGGCGAGGCTGGAATGTGCTAATCAGTGTCAGGAAAAGTGCATTGTTTGGGTTCATGAAAGTGCTGGGGCCATCTGTATATACTTTGATCTTTTATATCCTATTCACCAGCACAACATACTAAAGTTCTGTTTTGTTATTTATTTATTTAGCCACAAAAGCTCCATAAAGGATAGCCAAGAGGAAAAACAAGGAAAATTTGAAAAGTCATCAGCATCTGTTTCCTCTGGCCGTGCACAGTTACTCCGGTATGTTACGATAGGTATGGCTATGTTCTCACAGCCAGCACACATCCAACTACCATGACATTTACAGTCCTCCTCAGTACTATACAATGACCCCAGGATACTTAAATGCTGATGGTTACTAGTGATGTCAGTAAAAGTGAGGGTGCTAGATTTCTTTAAATATATTCCAGGGTATACTTCTACTGTGGCTCTATGAATCACAGGGAGTGCTTGCTACTTACTGACATCTAAGGCCAGCTATGAACATTGGGTGTAATTTTCAGTTTAGCAAAGAAACAAAATAATGAGAAGTGTTGACCACTGGTGTTAGAGGGTTTCAGAGCAGTGGCAGGAAGAAGGGGGGAGATTCCCATGCAAACATTTGCACACTAGGGCTGAAACAGGACTTAAGACCCTGAACTGCATTGATGCTGGCTTTACTTTTAGGTTCACTTAATAAATTTATTCAGCGTGTTTAAGAACTTTTAAAGCTTTTGACTTTGAAATAATTCTAGACCCACAGGAAACTGCAAAGGTAGCGTACTCAAACCCTCGGCCCACCTTCCTCCAGTGACAGCACAGTACAGTCACAACACCAGGGCATGAACATTGCTTCAGTGTGTATGTGATTTACACATACATAATAGGGTAAATTATCATGATGAACACAGCAATCAGAACACAGAACTTCACCAGCTTGTGGGGCTCCCTAATTCCCTATTACAGCCACGTCTACTCTCTCGCTTTTAACTCCAGCCAACTGTTTGCCTCTTTTCTAGAGTAATAGGCAGTATCTAGGCTTGAGTGCCATTTCAAACATTGTTTTTCATTTATCTCTACTGTTTCACCCTTTCCCTTTCTGTGGGTTACTTAAGTATTTTGATTTGTCTGTAGTCTTTTCAGATTTATCTCTTTTTATAGTTCTGCATTAGCTTTGCTCGAAATTAGTTTCTCTCTCTCCTCTGTCTCTGTCTCTGTCTCTGTCTCTGTCTCTGTCTCTCTCTCTCTCTCTCTCTCTCTCTCTCTCTCTCTCTCTCTCTTTGTATGTTTGTGTATACTGAATACAATTTGCTAGTGTTGCCTTTTGGCAGATGTGTAGAAGAAGCCTTACCTTCCTTCTGAGGCTCACAAAGTGTTGATGTCATCTGTTGCTCACTGTTTGTAGACCAGTTGCTATATTATTGTTACAGTCATGGTCATGCTGTAGCTTACACTGTGGACTTGTTGCTTTTCATAGTAAGGGTGGTGAGAAGGTAGAGGAGACTGCCAGTGAGAGCTCCTCAGAGAGTGAGGAAGACGAGGAACCTCCGGACCACCGCCAAGAAGCCAATGCTGACTTGCCATCGGAATACTGGCAGATTCAGAAGCTGGTGAAATATTTAAAGGTAAGAAAAACCTTCCATGCTGTGTTTACAGTATTCCGTGGAAACCCATTGTGAAATTTTCAGGTAAATGGATGGAGCTGGAAGTAATAACTGAGTGAGTTAACCTGGCCCAATAAAGACCAGGACCGCATGTTCTCTCTGATGTGTGAATACTAACTTTGAACCTTTAGATATGTGTGTAAAATGGAGTATCCACAGAAGGCAATACACTAGTGAGGAGATAGAGATGGCATGCAGGTGGTATGACAAGGAAGGGAAATAATAGAAAATGAAGGGTTAAATGAGATAGGAACAGGGCAGAGCAGGGGAGAGCAGGGCAGAGGAGGAGTACAGTAAGGATAAGAAACCCTGAAGACCCTTAAAAATCCACATGGAAACCTACTTTAGAAGCTTACCAAGACATAGACATATGCAAAAAGGAGCTTAAAATGAAATTATCTTATAATGGGGAGAAAATGTGTCTCCTATACATTGCAGTACTACAGTACAAGTTATGGTTTAATTCTTTTCAAGGTGTTGGTCAGTGAGGCCCCATGGACACTCCTCCCCAAACATTACAGGATATTTCCATTGCTCTTGGTTACTCTAGAACATAATGATAATACTCTATTATTGAAGGCATCATGCATTTGAGTCATAGAGCATGGAGAAACAAAGCTGGTACTGATCTGGAAACTTCATCCCTGTTTGCAACTTTCATAATTTTGAAACTTTCTATGCGTACTACCAGGAAAGAAAAGTCATCTACACTCTTCCTAACAATGAAACTAATGAACTACAATAATGACTGGCCTGGTAAAATATGCCACTGATTCAATAATGGCACAAGTGTTATGGGAGTAACCAACTACTTTCTAATTGGCTTAAGTCCATCTCTACAAAGGGGAACTCATGCCTAGTACCACTGAATAGATCAAAAATCCATGGTTGAATAGGTCATAGGTGCTAAGCAGGACCTAACACTATTATTCTGCGAAATGGACAGAGTATTAAACTTCTCCCTAAGTTCATATCTTTATATCCATAGATTAGTGTATCTCTCAGCCATAGGAGAAGTTTATTTTTGCAACAGATGGTGATTAACCGAAACACAGTCCCTGAGCTGTTCAATGTGCAGAGTAAATTACTGTAGAGTACTCACATCTAAACCTGAAATCTGTATGTGATAACATACCCTCCCCACACGGCTCAACGGTGATCACCAAAGATTGGATGTAAAGATTGAAAAAGACAGAGGTAGTGGATCACTGCAGTGGAACAATATTTGTCAGATGTGGCATGGCTTTTTAACATATGAGTTCACAACATCTGTGACTTCCTGAACAAGATAAACCAGCTGAAATCTCTTTGTAGATGGGGAAGGGCCTCGTGAAGGCCTACACCTAGCAATTCACAACTAATGGCTTCAGGAAAAGAGTCAGTTTTCTTCAGAGATATGTCTCCTATACGGTCATCTATGCTCTAGTATAACTCTGCACATAATGGCTGCATTCAGTGGACTCAGTGGTTTGTTTGTTTGTTTGTTTTTTTTTTTTAAGAGTAAATTTGGGAAGGAATTGGGGGCAAATAGGAATAAATTGAAAATGAAGGAATGGGGGAGGTTGATCAAAACACATTCTAGACATATATGAAATTCTCAAACAATAAAAAAGATGTGCTATGTTAACATCTGGTCTCCACACACATGTTCATATGAGTGTGCATAAATATGTGTACTTATATTCATCCAAACAAGAGCATACACACAAATACCACATATACATACACATGCAAAAGATAAAGAATGAAATTGGACTCTTCTTTCATAAACATACAAAAGTATATGACAATGGAACACTAGAAATTGTAAGACTACTAGAAAGAAAACAAGCTGTTCTCTTAGATAACAGTTTCAGCAAAGATTCCATAATATGACTTCAAAAATATAAACACGAAAGAGCAAGATAAAAAAGAAACTCATGAAATTGGGTCAAACAGAATAGCAAGGGAAATATAAGGGTGAGACAATATTGCATAACTTGGGAAGGAAATGTTTTCAAACCATGTGTCTGATGAGGGGCTAATATACAAATTATATAAAGAACTCAGCTCAATTGCAAGAAAACAATCCAGTAAATAAATAGACAAATAGCCCAACCAGGCATTTCTCCAAAGCAAGCCTACACACTGGTCAAGACAACATGAAAAAATTCTTATCATCACTAAGTATTGGGGAGATGAAAATCAAAGTTATGAGATATGAGATAGCCCCTCTATCTGCCCGAGTGGCAGCTGTCAGAAAGTGGAAATATAATGAGTTCTACAAGGATATGGAGAAAGGGAACTCTGACACCCTCTCCCACACACGCATAGTTGCTGGTTTGTAGGCTAATGCAATGACTGCAGGAAACAAAATGGAGTTTCTCAGGGAACTGAACATAGAATTGTAGCCCAATTATCCCACTCTAGGGCATATATAATGGCTAGTCTTGGTTTTCACCTTGATACACCTGGGTAGGGAGAACCTCGATTGAGGAATTGCATCTATCACATTGGCCTGTGGTGTCTGTGGGGTGTTTTCTTATTTGCTAATTGGCAAAGGAGGGCCCAGCTTACTGTGTCTAGTGCTCTTCCCGGGCAGGTGGGTCTGAATTATAGAAGAAAATGGAACATGAACCTGGAGGCAAGACAAGAAACAGCATTCCTCTATTATTATGGTTCTTGCTACTTAAAAACATAGGAATAAAATGTTAAGAAAGATATGGAATACCTTATGAGTTGAGGAGTTTCTGAGAATTTCTACAAATTTCACTTTTTAAAAATATTCTAAACATGAAGATTCTTGTTTGTTGGGCATTTGAAAGTATTAGTGGAGCACAGAAGGGTGCGTAGCACACACATAGCACAGGACACATTCCCAGTTTGTGTCTGCTCCTTGACCCAGCTACAGAGCTGCCCAGTCCTCCTTTCTTCATTTGTCTAGTCAGAGCAGTCTAGGTAAGTAACCTAGACTGGCCTTGTACTTGAAACCATTTCCCTGTACCTCCTGAGTGCTGGGATTACAGGCTATAGCCACCGCATCTGACACTGTAACTCTTATTGTATCAGGTAGGGAAAAAAAACTGACATCAGTGAACATCACAGCCCACAAGGCTGAAGTTGGCCATCTTGAGTATAACAGACTATTCTGGTTCATGCCTGGTGCTTTGGGAAAAGAAAAGGACAGACTTGAGGTTGAGGTTTTCTTGCCGTCCATTGTCTTTTTCTTTTTCATGAGTAAAGGAAGAGTCAAAGGGGGCAGAAACATGAGAACAGCCAAGAGGTGGGACAATGGGGTAGGCAGAAGCATGGTTTTTGATGTTGGAAAGATGTCAGTGGGACCAGCTTAGCAGCTTCAGGTTATACAACTTTTATTGACTCCAGCTTCCTCATTGTAAAAGAAGGGGGAAGTGTTTGAATGTCAGGATCACAATGAATGTTAAATGTAGCATAATACATTTGAAGTGCTTAGCACAGAGTCCACGGTAATGCTGACAGTGATAATTATTTCTACAGTGTATGATCATGACCATAGAAGTTGCACAATGTGGAGTCTTGTTCTCTTTCCCAGGTGGCTCTCAAGTTTTGCTTTAAAATTTCTAGCAAAACAATAAAAAGAGGAAAATACAGGGAGTTAATATATTGAAGTATAGACTTACCATCGTTAAATAAAAAGAAGCCAGTTGCCAATGATACTGTTGCTAAGAACTGGAAGAATTTTGGCCTTTAGGGTCGAATAGGAAGGTACTGGGCAATGGAGCACATGGCATCCCAGATGGCATCCTGGGACCATAGCAAAGTGTCTCCTAATGGCTTGGATATAGAATGCTACCTTGAGTTATTCAGCTGCTTAGGATAAATCCATATAGTTGGGGGCCAAATGGGGATGTGCTGTTTCTGTCCCAGAACAGCTAAGAAAAACATTTATTGATGAAGTGCTACTTAAGCTCACACAAGTTATTCATCAGGAAATCATGTGCAAATGTGATACTTTTGGCCAGACACTAAATTGCTCGGAATTCTTATAGCTCCCACAGGTAAATACGCTTAACATAGCCAATAAGAGGGAAAGTAGATCTACAAATGGTTTCAAGGTTTTTGACACAGGTAACTGTTTTATACAGAGACACAAAAGGATATTAAAAAGTCTCTGAAATGCAAAATTGGAAGTCTCTAGGTAATCTCAAAATAAACATACCTGACATTTTAATTTATAAATTATAGCTCCAATGTAGGCTTAAACTAGCGAAGAAATGGTAATGTTGACCTGACTTTCTCCCTACCGTTTTCCAAGGATAGAATGCCAGCGCCGTTGAAAAAACATTGATGAGCTCATTAATATTGAAACAGGTCAGCGAACTTGAGCTTGTTATTTATCCAGCCTATGAGCTCAGATCCTGGCATATAAGAAAAGGGAGTTGATATTGAAATATTAGGCTTTAACCTACACTCACTTCAACTTGAAAATTTTACACACACACACACACACACACACACACACATACACTCTTCTTCTGGGACTTTAGAACACAAATTAATTTTTTAATTAAGGATTACACTACATTTTTTTTAACTCAGCAAACATCCAACTTCTTTTGTCCCCCTAGCTGATGAGTGTATAGAACCCAAGTACTAACCAGGGTGACCTGCTTAGCTCCTGAGTTCATGCATGTTCAAGATTGTATCCTGTGTAAGGCAATCTAACTCTTAGGGAAGTGCCACCATTCTATTTAACCCCCTACTGATAAGTACCTACGTTCTGTGTTTTGTTACCATTGACAGCTCAGGTGGTCTAACTTCTCAGCTGCTTCTTCAGTAGAGAGGTGCTATTTAATTCATTTCTTATCAGCAGGCTATCTTGTCAAGGATCACAAGCTTGATCCTCAACCTTCTGCCTAAATGGTGCAAAGGCAGTTGAAGTTACCGGGTGCAGTGCTCCTCTGTGCTTACTCTCAGTCCCTGGACAACAGTTTAGTCTTACC